CCACCACACCCGGCTAATTTTTCTATTTTTAGTAGAGATGGGGTTTCACCATGTTGGCCAGGCTGGTCTCGAGCTCCTAATCTCAGATGATCCACCCACCTAGGCCTCCCAAAGTGTTGGGATTACAGGCGTGAGCCACTGCCCCCAGCCTGTGCAAATCATTAAGAGCAATATTTGTAAGTCCATGGAGTTTCTTTTTGTTTGTTTTACCTTTGTTGACTAAGATCTCAGAATATCTGAGAATTTGGGCTGCACAGGGAATGCTGGTGTAGGAGAGGGAAGCCAACTGAGCTGAGCTGCAGACCTGTTTGTCCTTAGTTCCCCAAAACTTGCTGTCTATGTGACTTGGAAGGAATTTGATTCTTTTCTGCAAGGCACTGACAATACCTTTCAACAGAGCTGGGAGATAAAATGCAGAGCTTATGAAAGTCATCAGAAAGTTGAACACAGATGGTCCCCGACTTAAAACGGTTCGACTTGATGATATTTTGACTTGATGATGGTGTGAACACAATACACATTCAGTAGAAACTGTATCAATAAGGGCTGCTTTATTCACCAGAAGTGAAAAACACAATGGTTGCGTGAGTATCTGAAGTACACAACCATTCTCTTTTTCACTTTTAGTACAGTTACATTCCATAAGTTACATGAGATATTCAACACATTATAAAATAGGCTTCGTGTGAGATGATCCTGCCCAACTGTGGGTTAATGTGAGTGTTCTGAGCACACCTAAGGTAGGCTGGGCTAAGCCAGCATATTCAATAGGTTAAATGTATTTTCCACTTTCAATATTTCCAACTGATGAGGGGTTTATCTGGACACAACCACAACCCCATCCTAAGCAGAGGAGCATCTGTACCTGGTTCTTGTACAGAACACATGGCACACTCAAATGTGTGTTCAGTGACTTAAAATCCATGATTATCACTTGCTATTAGTCCGGCTGATGGCTCACATCTGTAATCCTAACATTTTGGGAGGCCGAGGCAGGAGGACTGCTTGAGGCCAGGAGTTCAAGACCAGCCTGGGCAATATAGCAAGACCCCCATCTCTGCAAAAAAATAAAAATAAAAATAAAAATTAGCCAGGTGTGGTGGTGCATGCCTGTAGTCCCAGCTACTCAGGAGGCTGAGGCAGAAAGATGACTTAAGCCTGGGAGGGGGAGGTTTCAGAGAACTGTGATCATACCACCGGAGACTGGCCTTGGGTTATTATTCTTAATTAAAGAAAATAATGTATATGAAATGTTTTATCAACTGTAAAGGGCTGCACAAAAGAAAGTGACATTAGTGTTGTCCTTATTTTGAAGGCATTGCAGATTCTGTAATGCAAATTCTGGTACCGATAACAAATACCAAGGCCAAGGCAAAAAATAAAAACAAAAAGATCCTAACAGGAGAGATCTAGAAACTCAAAAGGATTAAGATGAAACCTAAGTCATGGTCATGCTACATGAACCTAAAACTGAGAAAATCCTGACTTCATCCACCACTCCCAGGAAACCAGCATTGGTGGGACTTGGTGGGGGTTGGTGATCACGGTCTGGCAGCAGAAGTATGTCATGTCTAGTTTAAGCCTAATGCATCAACTCTAGGTTGCAGTAGGGGAAGGACAGGATCCATCAATCCCCTCTTTGGGTTAGAACACACAGGGTCTGGCTGAGTTGCTTTCTGGGTACCATGCGTAAGAGACACGCATGCCAACCAGAGCAATAAGTATGGCAAATTTTTGTACGTATAGAATAGCTTAACTACTGTAGATTTTTCAGCCAGGAAAGAAGCTATTGAAAGCACATTTTATTTAAGAAATAATTTAAAAAAACACAATTGTTCTGAGGAGGAAGTGGCACAAATAGGCATGAGTTAACCTGAGTTTTATTTACCAAAAAGTGTACCTCCCTGCAAGGAAGAGCAACTACGGGATGGACTAGCTGCCTTGTTAACAAAGCGCTCCCTTCCCATTGATGGAAGTGTTCAAACTAGGATGGATAACTTCATGTCAGAGACATCACGCAGAAGGGGAGAGAGGCTTGTCAGCCCTAAGATCCCTCTTAACTACAATAACCTGGGATTCTAACTGGCTTGACAGTTTCACATGTGTAGGTAGGTGCTAGGATACCAGCAGCCACATGAGAAAGAGGCCCAGAACTGTGCCTGGTAGCTCTTCTGACTTCCTCTCCCTATCTGGCACCTAGGGACAGAACAGTGCATATATTGCAGGGCACACACACGCTAAAGGATACATGCTAAATACAGGATACATGCTGAAGACAGCATGAGGCTTATTTGCAAGGGAAAGATCATGGAACAGGGCAGGAAAGAGGCACAAAAGGCAGCTTCTCAAACCCGAAGCCTTTATCTGCTGAGAGAAGGCAAAGGCTCCTTCCACTTCTGCTTCTACTTGGGACACGGGCTGACAAGCACCTGACCCCTAGAACTTCTGCACTCATCATAGTGTATATCCCACATTTGTGCATCTGCTACAGTATTCAACATACACAGCAGCACAGGAAAAGTCTGCCTTCCAACAGGCCAAAATGTGCTTGAAAAGCTCTTTGAAGCATTTGTTATGTGCTTGAAACACACAGAACACTGGGAAGGCAGTCCTTTATTTAGATCTTTTTTGTCTGTGAAAATCAATATGTCCTTTCTAGGCTTTACTGTATAAGAAAATGTGTGTCTAATTATTGTTCCCAGGTTTTCCCTCTCAGTCTGGCCCAGTAACTGCAACTGTCATCAAGCATCACCCAAAACATGCCACACACATGAGTGCTGTCTGTGCCCCTCTCAAGTGCTAATTTAGAAAAACTGCCCAGCTCTCCAATATGCCTCCATAGTCTGCTTTTAAGAACTATTTTTGTTCTCTCCTCCCACCACGCATGGCTGAGTGTGAATAGCTGTTTCCTGGGTCCTCACTGCCAAGGTAATGGCACTCTATCCCACCTCGTCACTTTCAAGTTCACCTCTGCTTTGACCCCTGGACACAGCACTCTTCACACATACTCACTTTGATCCATTATTCTGCCTCTGCTCTAGAAAGGGACTTAAAATACTTAACAATGTTGCCAAATCCTCAGTCTGTCAGACATACACAGTGATTTAAATAGTCATTGTTCTTAATTTTTCTGTGCTGCTAAACCAAAAAAGAAATATTGCCCTCTGTGAAATGAAAACAGTCACAGAAACACCTTTAGAAAGCAGGGGGTAGGAGGTGGGTGGGATCAAGGTGAACCCAGCTAGAAGGACATTACCCCATTACTTTGCAGGGCAGCAGGGGCAGCTCAGTCAGACGGTTCCCACAGGACAGAGCATTTCTGGCCAGGTTGGTACAAGATTAAAACAATGATTATGATGATGTAAGAGTTTCATCTTACACATCCATGAGCTACAACTGTTAACCAATGCACATGGGGGGAGGAGGTTACATGCACAATGACTATTTAAAACTGTCCAATTTCATACATTTCGACAAAGCATTTAAAACTCTGCCAGAACTGCCCAGAATGGGTAGGGGGGTGGGGTGGGGGAGAGTCTATATTTACTTTAAAATGTGAATTATTTATTTTAGACACAAGGAGCAAAACTACAAATGTCTTGATATCTCCTATATGTTAAGAATAAAATTATAGCTGTCTGTCTAGGGCATTGAGTGTCCACCATTGCCCACTCTGTGTTTAGGCCCTCACACTTGTCTTACAACTCCCTTCTGCTACATTTCACACCATGCAATACCTCTGCAAGGGAGCTTTAGCTACACGACTCAGAGGACAAGGTGCATGTTTCAGCTAAAGCACACCCCGTTCTCTGTGCCTCAGCCCAAAGCAGCTGCTGTGTAAGAGCGGCAACAGCCCAGGAACACCCAAATGACATATTCTCCACGTCCTTCCTATACTGTAGTGATGTTTACTGAAGTGCTGAGAAAACACTGGAGGAGACACTGGGGCAGTAAAGTCTAAAGTCAGATATCTTTGGGGGAGGACTGAGCACGGGTGCGGGTTGGAGATTTGCAGGAGTCTTTGCTTCTCTGGCTCTCCAGTTCTTTAGTGGGTTTTACCTCTGTCAAAATCAAGTGCGAGATGGGAGACTATTGCTTTGTGGGAGACGCAGGGACAACTAACCGGGCAGAACAGGGCCGTGGTCCCGGCTCCCCCAGCAGACCTTGAACGACGCCAGTCCGACTCCTCCAGAGCGGGCTGGTGACAGGTCAGCTGCCTCGCCCCGAGGGTGGGGGAAGGGCGCGCTTTCCATCCGCGTACTGGGACAGGAGTTTGGGTGCAAACTAGTAAAGGCTATGGCGCTCCCTTTATGCCCAAGTAAAGGGATGTGGTTTGGGGGACGGAAGGAGATTAAGCCAGTGCGGAATGCCGTACACACACTCTAGCACCACCACTTTGGGGACTTCGGGTCTCCAGCTGGCTCGGGCTTGGACCTCGATTTGCATGGAGAGGGTCGGAGGGACTGGGCGGCCGCGGCCCTTACCTTGCTGACCACGTTCTGGACGAGGCCGGCGCGGATGCCGTAGTCCCACGCGTGGCAGTTACAGTTGGAGGCGTTGTCCCCCTTGTCCGGAGGGGATGGCAGGGGTGGTGTGTCGCCTCCGTCCGCGCCACTGCTGTTGCTCCGGTTGCCCGCAGCCTCCCAGGGGGCAGTGGAGAAGGGGGTGGTGGGGAGGCTGGTCCAGTTGCCCATGTCCCCCCCCCGGCCTGTGGTGGTGACCCCCGCCAGCTCGGTGCCTTTGCCGGCCCCGCGGCACCAGAAGTTGGGCTGGTCCAGGAGGAACGAGTCCGAGAACTGGCTGAAGCCGATGAACAGCGCCGGGATCCAGGTGAGCAGCACGAGGGTCTTCTGATAGCCCCCGCCCAGGCCCCCGAGGAAGGGCAGCACCGACCCGTCATAGTCCAGCAACAAGAGGCTCGGGGCCGCAGCAGCCGAGCAGCAGCTCGAGTGCGGGCCGCCTCCAGGATGCAGTGGAGGCA